TCCACCTGAAGCATTTCTATGTTTCTGTCTTTTAAATCACTAATTCTGTCGTCCATGACATCAGCTCTGTTTTTTAAGGTTTCTAGATTGTTTTTTATTTCATTCATTGTGTTCTTCGTGTCCAGAGTTTCTGTTTCGCTTTTTTTTTTTTTGAGTTTCAATCCTGTTTCTGAAGTATTCCTTCTGTTCATTAATTTTATTCCTGAGTTCATTAAACAGTATTTCTGAGTTTTATTGTAACTTGTTGAGTTTCTTTATGACAACTATTTTGAATTCTCTGTTATTTAGATTTTAAATTTCTGTGACTTCAAGATTGGTTTCTGGAGACTTGTCATTTTGCTTCTTCTCTGAAGTGTTACTGTGGTTTTTAATGGTGTAAGATGAACTGATCCTTTGCCAAGGCATTTGTAGTAGTATCAGATTACAGATTCCACCTGCCACCTCTGGGGGGGTTGGCAGGAACTATATTTTCTGAAACTGTCTGCGTCTGCTGGCAGTTGTGCCCATAGGGCTCGTCTGCATTTGCCTGCTGGCCATAGCTGTTTGGTGGGTCACGCATACACTCTGGTGTGGAACCACTGCCTTAGCTGGGGACCAGCTGAGCTGGTGCACTAGGCAGGGAGGGTGCTTTCTTGTGCATGCAGGCCTGCTCTGTGCTCACAGCCAGTTTGCCTAGGCTGCTGCACTTGTTGGGGGGGCCCATGTGGTGGCTGAGCCACACCACTCAGTGTGGAGCATTCTTGTGGGCCAGGCTGCAACTCCAAAAGCAAAAGGGTTTGTGTGCAAGACTTCCTGCCCCCTGCCTCCTCTTACAGTTGTGTGCTCGCTGCTGTGGGAGGTCCCGTGACCCAGATTGCTGCCTCTGGGGAGGGGAAGGGAATCCACTGAGCACCTTCCACTGCTTCCTGGTGATCCAATACCCCCACCTTCAGATATATGGCTATGTGGATCTCTCAGACAACCTATTGTGCTTTGTAGGGAATCCTCTGCTGGTTAATGAATGTCCATTTGTTTATAACTTATAGGGAAGAGACTAAGGGAACAACTCACTCCCCTTTGATGCTGACATTACTTGACCTTTTCTTTTTCTCCCTACCTGATGTCTCCAGAGTTGGAAACTCTTAGGGAGTGGGTATTCTTATTTTCATGGCCAATATAGTTATTTACATAAGTTGAATAAAAATTCGTTCTCCTTATAACAAGAGAAAATTGGAAACATTGGTTATATTGCAAAGGCTTTGACTGGAATGTCACATTTGAGACATACATAGACTCAGATATGACAAGACAGCTTTAGGGAGTAAAGGTTGACTTTATGGAACAAATAAAGTTCCTTGTAAATATTGGCCTGGTACTTTGCTTACAGGGTTCCCAGTAACCTCACCAGGTGAGTAAAGAAGGTCACTTCCTGGAAGGTGCAAGAACCTCAAGATATTTTGAGGACCTCAGGAAGCAGGAATTCACCCAAATCTATAAGTATTGCAGGTGGAGTCTGATGACAAGTCCTTGGCTTTTAGAAGTCTTTGAAAGTTCAATCTTAAATTCCTTATGAAAAGTTCCAGTAAAGCAGATTTAAAAGAGACTATATGATCAATCACTATTCTTGCTGTACTTATGTAAATAAACAGGCCAAGTTTATTCAAACTAGACTTATTTTGCAGACAAATTAGTGTTAATTTGGCTATCTTTGGTAGAAAAGTGGGTTATTTTACAGAGAAAAAATATGTTTCTATAGAAATTATAGTATACATTTGTGGACATTAGATTCTAGTTCTGTTAATTGTCATGAGGTTTCTGTTTTCTCCCTGTTGCCTGGACTGGATCTTAAATTTTTTTATTTTCCTCAAAAATCTGGCTACAAATTTCCAAGCTAATATTTTAAATTTTCTCCCATCCTTTTGACTGGAACCATTGAGAACTGAAACCACCCTTTTTTCCTGAAGCCCTGCAAACTGAAGCTGAATAACTTGATATAAACTTAAGTGAGACCACCACAATAGCCCATGGTTAGACAATATTCATGTCTGTTGCTCTGTAAGCCACTCAGAAAGATACCTGAATGCTCAATGGCATCCTCAGAAACATTTCAAATTGCAAAATATGCTTCGACACTAACATCTAGAAATCTTCTTGACTGGCTGTCCCCTGGGCTCAGAAACTGATTTATAATTTGCTGCAAACATTAACGTTTGTTTCTTGTTTCTATAGAAATGCTTCATTAAATACTTGATCATTTGGTAACACAATATGGGCCTAACTTTGGGATCCCACCTGCATCACTGCCTCCTGAAATGAATTTAACTGGACTGACCTATTGTCAAGACTAAGAGACTGATTCAGTGAGATGGAACAATCTACCAACTCAGTTTCTGGACTGTGAAACTTCTTGAAGTTTCAGAGATGTAACTTTAGGGGAGCAGAATTTGCCACCCCAAAATGTATCTCTTTGGCTTGATTACTTTTAAGAATGAAAGACTCAGGGCCGGGCCCCTGGCTTAGCAGTTAAGTACGCGCGCTCCACTACTGGTGGCCCAGGTTCGGATCCTGGGTGTGCACCGATGCACCACTTCTCCGGCCATGCTGAGGCCACATCCCACATACAGCAACTAGAAGGATGTGCAACTATGACACATAACTATCTACTGGGGCTTTGGGGAAAAAAAAGGAGGAGGATTGGCAATAGATGTTAGCTCAGAGCTGGTCTTCCTCAGCAAAAAGAGGAGGATTAGCACGAATGTTAGCTTATGGCTGATCTTCCTCACAAAAAAATAAATAAATAAATAAACAGAATAAAAAAGACAAGAATGAAAGACTCAGAAGGAAATTTGAATTTCCCTCTAACTGCCTAAAGGAATTTAAGATAGAAGACTTATTCCAAGAAGGAGCTCTCACCATAGACAACTATAGTATAATATGAACTATGTGTGGTAGACAGGGAGGAACCTGGAAAGGCCCATTTTATCAAAGTTCTCTCCATGTCCCATTGTCTCTGCAAGGCATGGCAAACATTTGTTTACCAAACATTTGTTTTGCCGTCTCAATGTGAATTGCCTTCCTCCCCTTTGAAGTCTCAAACCACTACCACAACATCCTCTTTTGTCTTTAGCTGAATACGGTATTTAAGGTGGTGGCTTTGGCCATTTTGGCAAGTTACTCAGTTTTCCTGAGTTTCTCCCATGTATACATGTTATTAAACTTTGTTTAATTTTCTCCAGTTATTCTGTCTCATGTCAATTTAATTCTTAGAACAACCAGAAGAACCAAGAAGGGTAGAGGAAAATTTCTTCCTACCCTTCATACAAAAGGAAAAAAAACTTGTTGATATGGTACTTCTCCAGAGATATAGCTAATGTGAGAAGACAATGGAAAAAATATCTATAATTTTCTAAAAGACAGTGTGATTGAAGAATACCAGCCAAGTTTTAGATCAAATGTAAATTTAAGAGGCATACATTCTAAAGCATGAAAGCATTCAAAATATATAGTGAGTTTGAGAACTTTTTTTCCTGGGAGAAGGTGACTACTGAATGATGAAGTATTTCATTAAAAAAGAAAACTACTGACTAATGAATGGCTCACTAACTGAAAAAAGAATGGAGAAACTGTAGAAAAAGTACTAGTAATGAACATTTATTCCATTTAATCACAGACTTAAGAATAAATTGAGGGGTTACTGTTACAGAATAGAATGTAAATATTCTGGTTAAGTTGTAAATATCATATACTCTGATTATTTTATATATATCAATATGCATATAACTATATAAATTATACATATATATCACAAAAATCAGGAAGTGGTGGAGGAGAGTATAGGAAATATGAATGCTATTTTCCTCATCTTTCGAGGCCAGGAATCAATAGTTACTGTCTAAAATTGAAGCATAAAGCTTGATAATTCATGACCCCAAAATGTTACTGTTTTTGATTCTACATGTTATTTTATATTGGCTGTTCATCAAACAGTCCCATATCCACAACTGATGGTTATATGATTATGAGAATCACAAATCTCCAATCTGAAAAGCAAAAGAAGAAGTTGTAATGGAAGACAGAGGTAAAATATGTGTTATTCAAAGTCAAGGTCAGCTATTGACTAGTCATCTCCATTACTACATGATATTCTCTAGAACTTGACAGCTTCACCGGGGCCTGGAAAGCAAAAACAGAGATGAAATATCTGACTTACTAGAGGCTTAGGTATGCTAAAGTAACAAATGAAAATCTTTTAAGTGGCACTGCCTCCTAATCAGAGAAGTAATTTGAGAAGACCTTACTGCATGCAAGGGAGGAAAGACAGTGCCACTTTTAGAAAATTACTGACAGTAGAATGATCAAGGAGCATTTTCTATAAGGTTATAGGGTGAACTCTGGGGCAGAGGCAAAAATTGGATGGGGTGACATGAGCAAATGGTCTAGGTACACAGACAAGGCATATCTTCATAGGGCAAAGTTCTTCCCACTGGGAGCTTCAAAGGCAATGAACTATGAGACAAGTTCTGGTTTTGTCACTTCACTAACTATACGAGCTTGGGCATGTCACTTCCTCTCTAGAGGCAATTTTCCTATCTCTGGGAATATTCTTGATATTCCTGAGTCTCTGATACCCATGGGGCCACTGTTCCAGGCTAGGATGAATCTAGGACAAAGCTCCCTAATTGGTAACTACTAGACATTCATTTCCAGGCACAATCCTTGGCAAAAGTATGAGGTTGGAAACCTTATCTCTGGAACGGATCCATCTTCCTAATTCTGTGGACACTCTTCATTTTGCTGCTTGTTTCAATTCCTCCCCTACTTCCTCCAACAGCTAATCTAAAATCCTGCAAGGGTTAGCTGATAATGGTTTAAATGCTAAAGGTGGGGCAATGGGAAGGGATTAGGGAAGCATTTATGGAGAGGAGAGGTTAACATTTGAAGTGTAAATATTTGTGGCAGAGGGAGTAGTTCATTTCACTGGACCCACGGTAGATTTCTGGGAGAGATGAGCTAGAAAGGTTAGATTGATATCAGGTTGTGGGGGGCTTTCTACCTCAGGGTTGGGGCATTTGAAATTAATTTGATTGACAGTGGGGAGCCTTTGAAGATTTATTCCACTGGGTTACATGAACAGGTTGAAGCACAGTTCTCTAAAAAGCCTCAGTTAAAATGCAAATTGTGTTCCCTGGGAGGGTAGTGCATTAGTTCATTAGCACTTATTAACACCTTAGAGAGAGATTCATTATCAAGAAGCAAAGTGCCCTGAGAGACTAGGTCACAATCACAGGACAGAGCAATACTGAGTAGGAAGGAAGAGGGAGTAAACAAGGTTCAGAGAACAAGTAGTACCTGAATGTAGATTGCAAGGGGACCCTGAGCAGATGGAAGGCAGCAGGAGAGCAGCACTGGGCTTGGGGTGGGAAGACATAAGGGCACGGAGAGTTAAGGTGCCAGGCTAGGTCCTGGGTCGAAGTATAGTGATCTGAAGACAGCTTCTGGCCCAGAAACAGCTGTCTTTTTGGATAGCTGGAAATTATACCATGAGAGATTAATTCTTTAGGATCTGGAAAGGTATTTATTTTAAGATATCTTGAGACCCCTAAGAAAACTCAAATAACCCTGGGTAACAAACACCTAGTGTGCATTATTGGGATCTAGTTTTATCACTTCTCATAATCTCTCTTTTCACACCTGTAAAATGGGGATAATGCCTGTTTTGCCTAACTCATTAATTTGAGGTGAGAGAATGAGAGTGTCAGATGAGAGGGTAGATGTTATAGAATTTTGTAAACGATAAAGTGCTAGATCAGTATAAGCATGAATATTTTTTTAGTTTTCTTTTTTCCCCATAGAACTAGGCAGACAGCTGGGCATTTTGTCAAATGTACTTATAAAGACTGTTGGAATTGAAATGAATTGCTGTAATTTAATATATTTTCACAAGGTTTATATGGAGCTAAAAATCTCTAAGAAAACAGTAAAGACAAAAAAGCCCTTTTTAAGGAAAAGTAGTCCATGATCAATCTAACTTAGATTCCAGAAGATATACGGAAGCTTGAGAGAGAGCAATTATTTATCTTTACTTTTGCTATACCTTCTGCAAGATTTATGGCTAGGTTGCTGAAGTCCAAATTTGCTTCAGACTATCACCACTTTCTAATTAAATGCAGGTTCAGAATACTGCTCTATGCTATTTAGCTGTTAAAAAGTGATCTAGCTCAATTTGTTTATTGAAACAATTTCTTGTGTTTAATTTCTTTCTTTTTTTTTTTGCTGAGGAAGATTTGCATTTAGCTAACATCTGTTGCCAATCTTCCTCTTTTTGCTTGAGGATGATTCACCCTGAGCTACCATCTGTGCCAGTCTTCCTCTATTTTGTATGTGGGTCACCGCCACAACATGGTCACTGATGAGTGGTGTAGGTCTGCACCCAGGAACCAGTCCCGGGCCTCTGAAGTGGAGCATGCCAAACTTGACCTCTAGGCCATGGGGCCAGGCCCTCTTGTGTTTAATTTTAATATAAGAATGTGGATAATTATTTTGCTCTAAATGGTTTATATCAGTAGCTATTGATTTCACCTAATCTGGATATATTTTTGCTGAAGCTCTTTGATCATTCCAAGACTTTGTTTAAATTCAAAGGGGGGAGCATTAAAGTCTTTAAATGTAAAAATGTATTCTCCTGAACTTCACATCATAGTCATTCTTATAGGACCTAGGTCCAGGTATTTCAAAACACTCTGAGGATCACTATGGTGCAATGGGTTTGAAATGGTTCTAGCTCTTCATCTTTCTCTCGGTTCTCTGCTTCTTTAAGTATATCCCAACCTGGCTGGACACTCCCAACAGCAGTAAATTCTTCTATGTTGACATAGGTCAGTGAAAGGACATAGGTGTAAGGGAAAAAATAAGATTTACCTATAGAAAGCTCAGTTTTCAGAAGAGCAAATGATAAAATTTGAGTTATCAGACCTGATTTTTAATCCTGGGTTAGATATTTACTACATTAGGCAAGTCACTTTCCCCTTCAGGGCCATAGTTTCTCCATACATAAAATGAATTATTAGATTAGAAGATATCTAAAGTCTCTTCCACCTCCATCAATTGACTCTCCATGCCCGAGAATATAGAATACAATTCTGCCCATTGACCTAGGTGTGTGATGTCAAAGGACATGCACATGTGGTGGTACTCTGCCTAAATACTTCACTACATTATATGGGTCTCTTAACAAAATATCAAGAAAGATCATTTGTCTAAGTACTGTCATGGTTGTCAGCTTGAGACACTGTGCGAAGACTTACAGAGTACTTGATATTGATGTATCTCATCACCTACAAAGCAACATCTCAAAAAGTGTAACCCAGAGTCATCCTCATTAGAATCACCTGGAATGCATGTTCTAGGGTTCCATTCCAACCTGCTGAATAAGAATCTCCTGGGTAAGTGAGGACTGAGAATCTGCATATTTTCAAGCTCCTCAGCTGATTCTAATGTCTACTAAAGTTTGAGGGTCATGGAATACAAGGTTAGAGTCGTTCAAGCATATATCAGATACAAGGAGAAGCAGGATAATTGTGCCTTGAACACTGTGCTTGCTGGGGCGAGAAGAGTGTGGATGAGGAGATAGTCAGGGCACTCAGTATAAGAAAAGCAAATCCTTGCTAATAGAACAGAATATTAAAAACAATTGAAAACATAGTAGGCTTGAAACTAAGCACAAGATTATATGAGAATGAATCCACAGAGGGGAAAAGTGACAATGTGAACATTTGACATTTTAAAAATCATTCTTAAGTTAAAGATATTACCCTAGTAAAGAGTACAGGTAGTAACATCTTTAAGGTGTCCATCCTGGTTTTATTAGTGGGACTACTTACTACCTTTACCCAGAGTCAAAGACTGTGGCACTGCCTTCCTGGAAGTGTCTGAATTTTCCCTATGGAAAGTGGATTTTCCCTGGAGGCTTTGAAAGCCAAATCATTAGGGGCTTCTCTGCACTCTGTGGTGCCAAGGCTCAAAAGAGAAATAATTGAAAGAGAGCCAGAGGAAAAGGGAAATGTCAGGAAGAATATAGAAAATGACAGTTGAGTCAAGAAAAGGAACTAATCAAGGAGAGAGAGAGAGTTTATAGGAAAAAAGAGAAGGCAAAACTAAGCCATGTAAAATGTCAAATAGAGACTCGGGGATTGAACAAAGCTGGAAAGGAGAAAGAAGAAAACTAAGTAAATGGTTTTCTGAGTAAAACTCTAATTTGTCACACTAACGGAAAAATAGTTTGATTCTGCATCTAACCTGGAGTAGGATCCACTGAAGGTCTTTGTGCCCCATACAAATGACTTTCTCCTTGAAGTTGAGACCCAGTTTGAAGGTTGTTCATGCCTTAAAATATCTTTAAAGAGCTGGTTTTTTAAAGAGAAATATTCAAATCTCTTTGCACATGGTTATATACTAATTTGCCAAACAGAAAAATCCTTAGCAGTGAGTAACAATGTTATCCTGAGGTACAGTGATAGATTCTATCTTGTGATTTGATGTTAAAGGGTTCCCACTCAGAACCTTATCCCCCACTAACCTGGTCTGAAATTCCCAGGAAAGAGTCACTCAAGTTTGCTTTGTCTCAATAGTCTCTGTCAAAATGCAAATATCATTCTTGGAAGAGGTAACACATTAACCAGTTCACATCATTAACATTCATTAGTTTTTCAGATTATCTCTAGAAGGTTTGCTTGAAAAAAGGCCCTGAGGGAATGGGATAAATCACCAGAAATTTAGATTTTTTTTGGTGGGAAGGTGGTCAGGAGGGCAGGATGGTACTGGGAAACACCCTGAGAACAGGGTGCTTCTAGGATTCCATTTAAGGTTGACCTAGAAAGGAGTAGTGAGGGCTAGTAGACACTGGAGAAGGAGGAATGAGATGGGTTCCTTAGAAGCTAGTATACATGGACTGGATCCACCTAGGGTGGAAGAAAGTTTTGGAAAAAAAGTATAGACACAAGAAGATATTTTGGGGTAGGAAGATGGGGTGGAGGGAGAAAAAGCTCTGAAGACCAACTTCTTTAATAACTCTTGATATGACATTTCTGGAGCTCAGTTTTCTCATTTGGACTAGATGGACTAGATAATATCAAAGCTCCTTCAGGGGCTAACATTCTGGGAATTTTGCTTCACAATGTGATCTAGAGCTTTCAGTTCCTTGTAAAGTTGAGTTCCTAGTGTACTCACTCTTAACAAGCACTCTGATGGGGAATGAGAAACAAGGGAAAGACTTAGATAATAACCTGCTGGCTGGTCTGTCTGCTGATAAAAGTCCAATAAATCATAAATTGGTTTTGAATTAGTGAAGTAACTACATTCTCACAGGGTCTAAATGCTTATATACAGAGTTGAATGACTAGAAAGAAAGTATAAAGAGTTTTTGCAGTTTCAACTTTTTTTCAAAGCATGGGATTGATGAGCAGTAATGTCTCTCCCTGGGCAGGCAGTCAAGGAAAGAAAAGGTCTACAAATTTTTAGTCTGTTGATGATTCACCAAGATCCATTAAACCTAGAAGAAATACCTTGACCATTATATAAAAGAGGTATTATAGGATAGATAAGCTCATTCTCAATAAGCTATATATACATATACATATTTACAATTTTTAATGTGTAGTAAAACCCTCCCAGCCCTATAGAAAATCTTTCTGAAAAAGGATGTGTTTTTAACACTTATTGGTACCTAAATAAAATGTCCTTCATTGAGTTTATGGGAAGTAAGCAGAAGCTTAGTAAGTTTCAATCTTCTGTTTCAACATGGAGGGCAAAGACCTATTGCCTACAGATGTATCTGTGGGCCCTCCAGGACCAGTTCAATTGACCCTATCTTATCAACAGAGTAATTAAGAAATTGTCTTTCAGAAAATGTGCAAAGTCACATAGCCAGAGCATGTACAGAAGAAGAAATCTTAACCTGAAATGGCCACGGAACCAAAGATTCTCCTCCCCACGGAACCAAAGGACCAGGACATGACCAGAACTTAAAATTCAGACTCATCAGAAATGAGGGGTCCATCATTCAGGAAGATTCGGTGTTAAAATTATTTCCCCACCTTACCATAAATGTTTAGAACCTCATCATAAATGTTTAGAACTTTACCATACATGTCTGAAGCCCACCAATCAAAATCTTTCCCGCCAGCGTTTGCGCGTACCAGCCCATTCTCCCTAACCTCTTAACTTTTGCCCCAAATCCTGAATCGGAGAGAAATATATGAGGGCACACACCCCCTGCCTCCCTGCAGATCGATCTCACAAAATAAACTGATTTCTCCCCCAAAAGCTGATGCCATAATTAATTGGTTTGTTTATGTGCGCCAGGTAGAACTCCATTTTTGTACAGTAATACAGAGATAAGCTAATAAGTCTCATAGACTCTTAAAGTTGGAAGGTTATAAGAGATCATTCAGCCCAACTCTCTCATTTTAAGGGTGACAAGGTGACTTGGCCATGGTACCACAGTGATTTAGAGGCAAAACCTGGACGCAAAGCAAGTCTCCTGACTGCCCACAGAGGCAGTGTGCCATCATGGTACAAGTGTGGACTTTAAAACTGTAAACATGGGTTCAAACACCAAAAATACTACTTCTTAGTTATGTGACCTCAAATTAGTTACTAAACCTCTCTTAGCCTTCCTTTTCTCATCTGTAAAATGGGGTTTAAAATATTTCGTTGAAAGCATCCATTAGCATACAAATTCTCTATCTGGGAGAGAGAATACTTAAGCCATTATCACTTTAGCCAGAATAATCCGATTAGCTCCTGCTATTTTTCAAGGACTTCATTGTCAGTATCTGGGGAGTTTGGTTGGGGTTGAAGAAGCCTACAAGGTTTGAAAACTAGGGAAGGAAACCCAGGTAGAAATCCATAGGAAGATGTGTTGGACATCTCCATATGGAGGGGGATTGGTAAAACAAAGGGAGAGAATTAAGAGGAGTAGAGGGGTGGAGAGCAAATCCAGTCCTAGGCAAAACTGGTTTGTCTAAAGTGCCACTTGTACCCCTTCCCTCAGTCAATTCTTATTTCTTTTCATACTACCTCCCCTCTGAGCATTTAGCAAACCAATACTCCTAAGGGGTAGGTGGCTTAATGCGTTGCCCTTCCCCGGAATACAATCATGCCTTATTTAACAAACCCTCTTCTTAAAGTTTCTTTTTATAACCAAATGTACCTTAGTACTATCTCAAAATGAATCAGAATATATGAAACTGGAATTCTCTGGAAAATCTAGGTAGGAGTAGCAGTAAAAGTAAGGGGGAGTTCTAGTCTCCAGCTTGTCTAATTCTGAGGTAGAGATAAAAGCTGAGCAGGAGAAGTACCACCAGCAGGGAGTAGAACGCAGGGAAAATCACATGTGGGAGAGAAGGAACCTCCCTGTGGGTCTCAACTCAGTTACTTGGGCAGAGACTCTTATCTGGAGTGAGATTCCCTCTGGAATTCCCATGTTCTGTAAGACACTCCTCTGCTTTCTTTGCATGGAGTTTTTGATTACTAGATAGGTTATTAGAATTAATTTTCTTCATTTTTAGAGATATCAATGATTCCCATTAAAGAGAATGGACCTTTCAAATGATATCACTCAGGCATCTGCCTATTGATAGGGCTTGCCTAGGAAGTCAGTATGGGTTGCATACAGAAGTGGAAAATCCCTGAGTATAATATTTACTCACCTGATTCTTTTACCAGAGGTCAGCCAAATATATAACTCAAAGTATCAAAATGTGAAGATCCTCTCTTCCAACTTCTCTAAAGAGAGAGTGACCATTTTGAGAAGCGTTTGTGCATTGAAATCCAAAGCAGCTCACATTCAACAATTTCATTTGCTTTCAAATGGCTTGCCTTGAAATGGACCTCTGAACAGAAGAAAGTGTATCAATGGTATCACATACCTTCCTCTCCATTATAATGTGTGAGTCATTAGCCTCACATTGCTATTTCCCTTGGAACCCCGAGTCTGTCTGCCTCTTTCTCATTGCTTTAGTCATTACAGCAAGGTGTGACTTCCCCTGAGAGTTGAAAATTGTAGTTCCTGCTATAAGTGACATATTTGTCAGATGGATTTGTACACCAAGTCTTTCACTAGCCTGATTCAGTCCAGAAGAACAATAAACTTAGGCCAGCAGAATGAATATACCAGCAAATAGACTTTAAGACTGTGAAGGCGTCAATATCTATTAACATATCATTACTTTTCCAAAATGAGTTTGATTTTGCATCTGACCCAAGAACCAAAACCAGCAATGTACTTTTTCCCTCCACAAAGCTATCCCTGGTCTGGTCTGATCTGAAAGGAAACTAACCACTGGAAAGTCAAAATAAAATTAAGGGACTTTAAATCTGCTTAGGTTTCTCCTGATTTTGGGAACTGTACTAATGAGTAAGAAGAGAGAGAATGTCCTTATGGTGTGATTTCAGGGTACAGTGAGAAAGCACCATTTCTCTCAAAATATCTTCCTCTATTAAACTACTAATGTCCCAATATCTGTTATTCATTCATTTAATAAACACTTATAGTGTCTACCATTTGCCAGGCACATTCTCAGGAACAACAAAAAAGGTCAAGGGAATCTTCAGATGGGGAAAGGGAGATAATGTAAAAAGCACTTGGAACCTGACCTGTGAGTAATGTGGGAGAGGAGTGAAAAAGGGATATCACCAGGAATAGAAAAAGTTCAGAAAGGAGAGATAGACAGATTTTCTTGATTTATTAATTGTGGTTCCAATGGCACTGTTAATATGTCTCATTCATGGCTCCAATTAGCTAGTTCAATTGGTGATTGCAGCTTTTAACCAACTAGTACCCTTCTTAGTTATGGGAGAGAATTATCCTGAAAAAAGTAATGTTTTACATGCAGGTTTTCTTTCTTTACTTTTGAGGTTTTGGAATGATTGTTGAATAGAGAATTTATTAACTTAACTAATTTAAGGTAAATGAAATTTAATTCAGTAATTATTCACCCTTGTTGTTGGCATGTAACTGACTCAGCACTCTTGTTTTGAGAGAGTAAGTAAATATTTTGACATAGCTTATCAAGGTTTCTCTCCAAGTCTTGTTTGCTTCTAATTCCTGAGCAAACATTACTCTAGGGTATATGTTTTTTGTGAACCAAGTTTGAATATGTTCAAAGATCACTGATTACGTATTGTTGTCATGGCAGTTTCCCACAGGGACTGACATTGATTTTACCAGCATTTTTTACATGATTCCTGAGACCAGCAGGCAATGATATCAATAAGGCTTCTGGGCCATGCTGGTAAATAAAACCTACCCTGCAGCAGAAATATCACAGCCTGAGATGGCTGACATTCAAAGATTAGAAATTTACTTTCTAAATCATCTTTGCTCTCTGCATAGACAGTCAACTGATTTCTTCCCCTGAAACATAACAATTCATTCCTTAGTAGACCTGATACTATAAAAATACAAAAAAAATTTTTAAAGTATAATCACAATAAAACCTCTCTCTAGATCGTTAAATATTACCTTGCTTTATGTGTAATGTACTATTGCTGTTTAACATAAGATCAAAACTTTAGTGGTGGTACATTTTATGCAATAAGTTTTTAGTGATGTGAAAGTTATCAATTTCTGGTACTCTATACAAGAAAAATACTATTAGGGCCAGATCAATTTATTAGACTAAGTTTTACTCACTTGAGAGTTTTCAATCAGCAGTCCTTCGAAATAATTCCCTGTTGAGTTAACCTGTTTTAGAAAATGGTTATAACATGTGAGGGGAGAAATCTGTTTAATTACTGAATTTTGAATGGAAAATACTCACATAGAAAAATAAATAAATGGTTCTGATTTCTATTGAATGGAAGATATTTGTTTAGAGAAACTAAGAAATTAATATTGATATAATACTACTAAGTAAGCTATGAACCTTATTTGAATTCTACCAGTTTTCGCAGGATTTCACACTTTTTCTTCTCCAGGATCCCACGTTCCATTCAGCTGTCATGTCTTCTGTGTCTCCTCTGGTCTGTGACAGTTCCTCAGTCTTTCCATGTGTTTCCTGATCTGGTCACGATTAGATTGAGATTATGTATTTTTGTATGAACACATATAGGTGATATATCTTTCTCATTTCATCATATATATGTCTTATCACTGGTCATGTTAATTTTGATCATTTGGTTAAGGTGGTGTCTGATAGATTTCTACACTGTACAGTTATGATTTCCCTTCTTTGTAATTAATACATATCTTACAGGAGAGACACTTTGAGATTATGCAAATATCCTATTTCTCGTCATATTTTTACCCACTGATTTTAACATCCATCTATGATTCTTTTTTTTTTGAATATCATGAACGACTTTATTCCAGTAAATTTGAAATTTAAAATAGGAAAGAAACAGAAAAACTTACTTTATAAAAACTTACTCAAAAGGACTAGAAGAACTTAATAGTTCTATGGCCATATAATGGAGATTCCTCAAAAAATCATCTATGATTCTTGCTTGCAACAAATATTACTGTGATATTTGCCAAATGGCAATTTTCTATTTCCCTCATTCTTCTACATGTGTTCATTGAAATTCTTCTAAAAGGAAGAGTTGTTTCTTCTTTCTCATTTATTTATTTATCCAAATATTTATTTCCATAAGTATAGACAGAGGAATATTTACTTTATTCTACAGGTTATAATCTAGTACTATCATTATTTGTTTTTTTGCTCAAATTGTTCTAGTTTTGGCCATTGGGATCTCTTTCAGGATGGCTCCTCTGTCCCTTTGACATGTCCTCATCCTTTTTTGAGTATTTCATTGCTTTCTGAGACAACAAGATGCTCCAGGCTCATCTTTTATATTCCCTGCCCCAGCCCTAGAATCAGGCATTTCTCCATGGAGTCTTGGTTCCTTTTATTGGACAACAGTGATTAGAAACCAAGATCTGAAAACTAGGTATACTCAATTGCTGCTGATTTCACTGCTGCTAGGCTCTCTTTGTGGACTGAGGAAGGAAGTATATATATATATGCATACTATCCGACACATATACACACAAAGATCTATAATTATTTCTGTATCTATCCATCTGCATATATATTAAACAAAACACAAGTTCATACTGCTATCTCTG